GATGTACCACCAAATTTGGGTGAATAACAACCATACCAAATACCAGCTAATAGTTTATCGTATAAACCTGAACGAACCTGTAAGTCTATATGAATTAAAGACAGTCACTTTCGGGATTAATAGCGCACCTTACCTCGCGATAAGGACACTCCTGCAATTAGCTGACGATGCAGAGAGTTATTTCCCAATAGCATCTAACATACTACGAAAGTTCATGCATGTGGATGACGTGTTAGCTGGAGGACATAGCGTCGACTCTACCATTAAAGCAAGAGATGAAATCTCAGAAGTGTTACGATCAGCTGGTTTTCCACTACGGAAATGGACCTCAAATTGTCAGGAAATTCTTAAGGGCATCCCAAAAACGGACCTTCTTAGCGAAGATTTCTTAGCATTCGAATACACCAGCACGGTTAAGGCTCTGGGCATAAGGTGGACTGCCCATACGGATTTACTTTATTTTATGGTCAGACCATTGGAGGAGCATGACACTATTACGAAAAGGGCGATGCTGTCAGCGATCGCCAAGCTTTTCGATCCACTGGGATGGCTCGCACCAATAGTCATCGTAGCCAAAATACTCATGCAAAGTATTTGGCTAGAAGGCACAGACTGGGATGAGACTGTGTCTGCTACTATTTTAGAACGTTGGCAGCATTTTACGAGACATTACCACGAAATAGATAGCATCAGAATATCTCGATGGGTATACTTCTCACCTGGGGACCCCATAGGGATACATGGTTTCTGCGACGCATCAGAAAAAGCATATGCGGCTACGACATATATGCGTGTCAAAAGAGATGACAAAATTTTGGTCAATCTACTTTTGGCAAAAACCAGAGTCGCCCCCGTCAAAACTATATCGCTACCACGACTGGAGCTTTGCGGAGCAGTGCTGCTCGCAGAAATCATAGAATCTATAATCAACAACCTCAACCCAGGACCAGTGAAGACACATCTATGGACGGACTCGACCATCGTACTCGCATGGATAGGAAAGCCGCCTTGTTCTTGGTCAACCTTCGTCGCCCACCGAATTACGAAAATCGTAGAAAAAGTAGGGGAAAAGGACTGGCTACACGTAGACTCGGCCTCAAGTCCAGCCGATTTGGCTACCAGAGGACTACCTGCGTCAGAATTGGTCAACAATTCTTTGTGGTGGCAGGGACTTTATTGGCTGCAAGAAGACAACTCCAAGTGGCCCGCTCAAGGAAGACACGACGAAGAAAAAAGAGCACACACTTATGCGACAACAAGAGCAAATGATATCGATATTCTTGACCGTTTTTCCGATTTACCAAGAGCTTTGAGAGTTCTATCATATGTTATGAGATTTTATCGAAGAACTCATTCCAAAACAAAAGCTTAATTTAACGAAAATTCTTGTTTAATTTCATCTAATGAAATTAAAACAACGGCACATATTCTGATAAAAATCTACCAGAAGCATTATTATGGTGAAGAATACGCAAACTTGAAGTCTAAAAAACCAATCGATGCAAAGAGTGAAATCCTTCCGCTTAATCCGTTCATCGATAAACATGACATTATCAGAGCCGGAGGTCGCCTTGGAGCATCCCAGGACTTAGCATACAACGAATGCCACCAAAGCATTATCCCGTATATCAGCAGGTTATCCCGCCTTATTGTATCGTTTATTCACAAGGTCTCCTTGCATGGAGAGAATGAACTGATGCTACGCCTCATCCGTACCCAATATGGGTTCCCAAAGCCAAGAACTTGATCAGGTCCACTATCCATAATTGTAAGACATGTATTATCTTTAAAAACGGTCACAAACTCAACTTATGGGAACTCTTCCTCCGGAACGCGCTACATTTACTCGCGCTTTCACAAATACGGGGGTTGACTTTTCTCGACCTTTTGATGCTAAAAGTTACCGCGGCAGAGGTTGTCGAGTTTCTAAAGGGTATGTCTGTTTATTTATTTGTTTCACGACTAAAGCGATTCACTTTGAAGCTACTAGTGATCTTAGTACCCCATCCTTTTTAGCAGCGTTCGCACGGTTCGTGGCTAGGAGAGGATGGCCGAGAAATATCTACTCCGACAACGGTACTAACTTTGTTGGAGCCTCACGATTCGTACGATCTGAATTTAAAGCTTTTCTGTCTGAAACTCGAGATAAAACTATCTCGAAATACAACCACCAAATGCTGACGTGGCAGTTTATACCAGCTGCAGCGCCTCACATGGGAGGACTGTGGGAAGCGGGTGTAAAGAGCTTCAAAAGCCACTTTAGAAAAATCGCGTCCGCCCATATTTGTGCTTTGAAGAGCTTAGTACTCTTTTATGCCGGATTGAGGCATGCCTCAATTCACGGCCACTGGGTCCCTCTTCAAACAACCCTACTGACTTGGAGCCGCTTCCTCCAGGCCATTTTCTCATTGGTGGACATCTTCTAGCCCCACCAGAATTAGATGTGAACGAAACTCCTGCCTCCATAGTGAATCGGTGGCAAAATCTCAAAGCACTAAATCAAACTTTGTGTCGGCGATGGAAAACAGAGTACCTAACCGAACTTCAAAAACGCATTAAGTGGAAACATCCTAACGAAAATATTAAACCTGGTGATCTGGTCGTCATCAAGGAAGACAACTTAACCCCAACTGAATGGAGGTTAGGACGAGTTACACCCTGGTGCCGACAGCAGAGTACGAGTAGTGGACATCTTGACGGAGAAAGGTCAAGTCACTAGACCACTGGTGAAGTTGGTTCTATTCCCGCTATGCAACGGTGGAAACTCGGAGCCAACAACCACCTCATAAACCACTTTTCATCATTATATCCCACTTCCTTTGTCCACGCGATTCTACTCCCTTATATTTGGACGGATCCCACGCCTAAGAATTCATGCTTTACAGTTTATTTTTTTCTCATTATTAAAAAAAAAAAATGTCGGTGATGGTTCTTACCCGGGTCTCCCCGAGTTGATGTGGCTAGAAGTAAACGACCATCATCAGATCTCAACCCAAAACATCCATAAATTGCACAGCATTTAACTGCGCACATAGAAAATGAATTAAAAACCGTGAAAAACTAGCAAGTTTAACAATAAAGTAAAAAAAAATTAAATTGTACTTGAAAATATTGAAAATTCAAACCTTTCTTTAACTTGCTGGTTTTTTACTATGTTTGGTGGAGAGAGATTGTGCCGATTAACCCTGCATGCCCAATGATGCTGTCTCACTACTTATTTCAAAAGAGAGCGCGGTGGTAAGAAAAACGACTAACATAGGGCACGCAGAGTTAAGCAAATGGCGATGATCACCCGCCCAAAATTAGCAATTATAAAACATAAACTCACTGATGTCTGGTCCCGTTCAGGCTGAATAGCCAATGCTGTCAGATATCTTTCCTGGTTTCATTTAATTCGCATATTTTACGCGGTACACTAGCCATAAATAAAACGCAAATGAGTTAACTTTTCAGTCGTCGAATAGAAGAAACAAAATTTAAAGAATAGGAAGTTTTATTACCATACTAAAGAAATTTCCAACAAGCTGACCCTACGTACAACGAAGAAGCAGCTGTGTAAACGGGGATGTTGAAGGTGTCCGCCAACGGAGGGAGAAAGACCATTATAAAACTCCGCCGCCGTAAGAATTGTAGTCACCATAAAAGAAAGATTAGGTTTGATGATTAGAAGTGTGTAGCGAAACCTTTGTTTACAAAACTCCAATTAACGTTTCCTTTACCCGCTAGTTTCACAAGACAAAATGCTGGGCTTGTTCGAGTTGCAATCATAAGCGCAGTATTGCATGAATCACTATGGCATATCTCTCGATGCGAATTTCTGCCAACTCTGCATCAGTTAAGCTGAAGCGGAAGTTAAGCAGGTTTTCATCATTGTTACTATGTTGCCGCTTTATTACACTCTCGAATAAGCTCACACATACAGACATATAGACAAACAACAAACATTTCTATTTTTCTCTCTATTAAGAATAGAGTAAACTTGTACATTAAATAATATAATAAATGTTCAAATTAAGGTTAATACTTAGGTTTGTCGAGAAACTACCTTTTTCGTAAGCTTTTGTTAATGATTGAATGAGGATGTCACGTTCCATGATTAGAATGCTTTCAGTTACACAACTAATATGAACAGGTTTATAAAATAGCGCTGCTTCCAGTAATAAATGAAAGTAATATCGAGCCGGCTTTCGAACAGATATAGCTTTATCATAGCAAGTACGTCGAAATTGTACAAGTCAAATGAAGTCCAACTTGTGGTTAATTACGTTTGCGGCACAAATGTTAGCAAGTAGCAATGGAAACAAAAGCCTATGCAGTAGATTTTTGTCTACAGTAACATATGACACCAAAATGCCAATATAGTGCTTACTGGTAGTGGTGTGTTTTTTGTCACACCGCGTCGTATATGTCTGTAACCATACAAGTTGTGCGGTAACTTTTCTGCTGCGTACATATGCATACCGGAACAGTAGGTATATGCATCTGCTGCGCGACGATACACCCATAGGCGGCGAGTGCGTTCAAGGGCAATAGTACGGCGTATTCGCATAATATGCACTCAATGCTCTCCACCCCAAAGTGCCAAGTATATAATTAGGCTATTTGTATTGTATGTCAAATTAATTATGTTGGTTTGTTCTCTGGTAGTGGCTGGCAAGCATCTGCAATAAAGACCAGTTTTAATTTTGCATTTTTCCGCCATATAAGTAAATTAGTACGATACAAGGCGATAGTAGCACCAACTCCCATAATTTTTAGGTTAAGGCCAGCACCCAGAACCCTCGCCCAAACGTACATATGTAATTTGACCTCGACCCCACATGTGCTTTGGCTACTTGTGTTGGGTTTTGGGTACTCCCTTTGGTTTTCGTTTGTACTGCAAATGCTTGTCACCAGGCAAGCAAACCCGTTTGTCCTTTTACTCTGAAAAATAAAATTAAGTGTTCATTACTAGTAATATTTGCTTCTTTTTAACAAATTACCTGTACGCTTGCGTAATAATCTGCGGCAGTACACATCAATTAATCAAGGAAAAGAAATGTGTATATGAATGACCCTTCCAACAGAATGAATGAATTCTCTTCATTGTCGTGTAGGTATACCAGGGTTCGGACTCCTGAAAGTGCTCAGGAGAAATCACTCCAACAATCGGAGTAACAACAAAGTTCATAGCATTAGATTAGTAACAATTTGTACCTGAAGTCAGAATACTTCAACATGTTCATTTCACGTTATATTGAATAAATTCATTACGATTCTCCTCATCCGAACTTTCTTTCTGGAGTAAATGCCAACGAAACGGACTAGAGGAGTAAATCTACATACTTTTTTCAAACCGTACTAAACCCAATTCTCAACAGAGTGGTGTAGCATGACAGCTAAGCAAAACAAAATGTTCACACAATATTAAGTAAAAAGTTCAATATACTTTTGGCAATAACTAGGCCAAAGTACTCAAATCAATTTAGCTTGCGCTGCACTTCTCCAATAACATAAACTCGATTGAACCCATATACATTTATGTATGCATGCACAACAACGTAGAATCATAAGCATGACTAACGACTTAGAAATGTAAGTTTGTAAATTAGATTACTCATAAGGTAGATTGTAAGCATATAAAAGAACGGCGATGAGCCGAATAAAACATTCCAACTTTAAGACTCAACGTTTGCGTTTTACTTTTGGAATCATTGTGGGGCATTTTAATGCTCACCTTAATGCGGCTGAAGAGCTAAGAAAATACTAAACACCTTCCAATGTTTACATGGCGATCCTGCCAGCTCAAAGCTAGATCCTGCCAGCTCAAAGCTAGATCCTGCCAGCTCAAATCTAGATCCTACCAACCCAAATCTAGACCCTGCCAACTCTATCAAGACCATGCCAGTACATTATGGTAGAGGAATACGTTCCGGAAGGATCGAAAAACGCAGAAGAATACCCCAAATACATCCCTACAAAAA